TCAAACTAAATCTAAAGATAACGTGTTGAAGTAGGGCTGGAACTAAATTCTGCTGGGCTGCGGCCCTCCAGGAGTTTTACATCCCTGGTACATAGCATATTTTCAAAGCAACTGCCTACATGCATCACAATTATGCACATATCGTTTAATAAAAACAATAAAAATATACAAACTTTATCCAAAGCAAAAACATTAATAATAATAATAAATAATCTGATTCTCATGTCTCTCCAAATCTGTAGTAATAATAAAAAACACAACAAATAACATGATTTATACATTTATTTAGGAAAGCCTTTATACTATACTGTTAATGCCACTTTTACTTACTTCATTTGAAGTTTTCCAGACAAATTCATTGCGTCTCTGCAAAAATGTATGTGCGTGCTTTTTAAGATAAATACATATATATTCATTTCAATTCAGCTTTATTTGTATAGCACTTTTACAATGTAGATTGTGTCAAAGCAGCTTCACATAAATGGTCATAGTAACTGGAACAGTGTGGTTCAGGTTTTAGTGTTTAAGTTCAGTTCAGTTCAGTTTAGCTCAGTTCAGTGTGATTTAATCATTACTGAGAGTTCAAACACTGAAGAGCAAATTCATCGATGTGTAGCTCTACCAATCCTGAACCATGCGAGGCAGTGGCGACAGCGGATTATATATTTCGGTTATATATTAACCGGTTATATAACGGTTATATATATTATAAACATTTTTACTAGTTATTTAGCAATGTTTGTTTATGGTTGAACAGTAATTTCCCATTTATTATCACAGTAAATATCTGTAATGGTATATAGAGTAAATTACTGTCATTTATTATTTGCACTACAGAATTTCATACAAATCCTGCTCATTTTACAGTAAAATACTGTTTCTTTTCATTACAGCTAAACACTGGCTACTTTACAGTTATTTACTGCATAATCTACGGTAAGGGTTAACAGTGTATAGCATCCTTGAATGTAAGGGGTATTCGAGAGAACACGAAAAGGAAAGCTTTATTTCTTTATTTCTTCTTCTTTGAAACGAACTGATGCCGACTTTGTTTTTTGTCAAGAGACTCATTCCTCGGTCTTGGATGTGAAATTTTGGGAAGCACAATGGGGAAACTCTGTTTACTTTAGTCATGGAACTCCACAATCAGCAGGTGTAATGGTTTTGATGCATCGATTTAAAGGAGATGTACTTGACTTTGTTGCAGATGAAAATGAAAGATGGTTGATTCTGACGATTAGACTGGACAACACAACGGTTATCATTTATAATGTTTATGGTTATAATTCTAATTTGTTGAATAAGACTTTGTTTGCCAAAATTTCAGACTTAATCACAAATGGAGCAATGTTCATGCTTCATATATTATATTATATGTGCAGGCGATGTTAATGACTGTGTAGATGGTTTGATTGATAGATATCCCTCTCGTACCCTCCAACATGCTGGTCAATCCAATCTGGCATCTCTTTGTGCCTCATTATTACTTACAGATACTTGGCGCTTTTATAACCCTGTGAAATCAGAGTACACATGGTCTAACAAAAGCAAGACTTTACAATCTAGAATTGACTTATTTCTGATCTCTAACACAGCTTTACGTTATGTTCAGGAAAATAATCATAGACATGCTTTATTAACAGATCATAAACTTATTTATTTATCTCTTTAAGGTTCAAAAGAGAATTCTAGTCTTAGAGGATATTGGAAACTGAATAATAATCTTCTTAATGATCATTACTTTAATACCTGTGTTAAGAATATTGCAAGCAATAGTTTTACAGGATTAAAAGATCAATTCAAAAGTAACTGGGAACTTTTTAAATATAATGTAGGAAAAATTGCCATCATACGCAGTAAAGAATTAAAAAAACTCAACAGGCAAAATGGAAATGGAATCACTGGATAATTGACATATTCTGGAACAGAAGGAAATTCATACTTAGGAAGACGAGGAAGAGTTGACTAAAATTCAATCTAAACTTGATCTAATGTACCCGGATCTTGCTAAAGGTGCTTTCCTTCGCTCTAGAGTCAAATGGCTTGAAGAGGGAGAAGAAAACACAAGTTATTTCTTTGCTCTAGAAAATAGAAACTTTAAAAGAAATCCGTTACCTGCAATAAATATTAATGGCAGCCTTTTTATGGATCCCAAAGCAATTTTAGTTTTTTTCCTTTTATAAAAACTTCTATACCTCCAATTTTGATGAAAATAATTGTGATAACTTCATTAAAGTAATGAATCAAAATATTCCTATTATAGCTGAAGACTTTAATGATTTATGTCATTCAAATATAGCCACTCTTGAATTGAAAGATGCACTACTGAAAATGAAGAAAGGTAAAGCTCCTGGTATAGATGGGTTGACTGTAGGATTTTTGGGAACACATTGAAAATCCTCTATAACATGTTTATTGAATGCATTAATAGTGGTGAAATGTCTACCTCCATGAATCAGGAAGTCATCTCGTTAATTGCTAAACCTGACAAAGATTCACAATTGATAGAAAACTGGAGAGCGATCTCACTTCTAACAATTGATTATAAACGTATAACTTTGGTATTTGCTAATAGATTAGGTAAATATTATTATAAGTGAATGTCAAACAGGTTTTCTAAAAGGTCGCCACATAACTAATGTGTATGATGTGTATGTTGTGTGTATGACTTCACTGTGGACGGCAAAGTAAGAATCTCATTGTACAGGGAGACGTGTTTCCTTACTGTGCACATGACAATAAACAGTTGAATTGAATTGAAAAACTAATAATATTAGGCCAGTGCTTGATCTCTTAGATTATGCTGATTATGGAGATGATGAAGCTGTTATCCTTTGTTTAGATTTAAAGCGTTTGACTCTGTTGAACACAGTTTTTTTTATTTTTTAAACTGTAGAGTGTTTTGGTTTTGGGAATAAATTTCTAAAAGTCATCATTTTTTTACACCAATATTAATAGTTCTGTAATCATAAATACTTCTACAACTATGAGATTTAACATTTATCGTGGAGTACGTCAAGGTTGCCCAATTTCCCCATTTTTATTTGTATTAGTTGTTGAATTATTGGCAATTGGTATTATCAATAGTGAGCAAATTCAAGGTGTCAAAATCTTTGATAGAGTTTTTAAGTTTTCTCAATCAGCAGATGACTCGACCTTATTCTTCAAACACGCTTCTGTTATCCCTGATGCTATTTCTTTAAGCAATACTTTTTCAAAAGCTTCTGGTTTAACTTGAAATCTTTCCAAATGTGAAATTCTGCCTTTACACAGTTTAAAGAATAAACACACAATGAACATCCCAGTGAAATCCTCTGTCAAATACCTTAGAAATATTGTAACAAAAATACACTTAACAGACAAGACTTAAATGTTTCTTCCAGAATAAAGAAAACAAAAGTCGTGTTAAATTGCTGGTTACAGCGTGAACTTTCCATTTATGGTGGTGTCTTGTTATGTAAAGCTGAAGGTTTATCTCCGTTTGTTTATCCCGCCTTGTCTTTATTTCTTAAAGACTCTAATTGCAAAGATATCAATAACTTGTTCTTTTCTTTTATTTGGAAAAACAAGTCCCAAAGTATAAAAAAAAAGAGTTCTTACTAATAAGAAAGCTGAAGGAGGACTAGAAATGCTTTATTTTGAAGATATCAATAAGACCTTCAGGATCAATTGGATTAAGAGATGTCTATCTACCCCCAATTCCTTTTGGAATCATTCATTCATTCATTTTCTTGTCGGCCTTGTCTCTTTATTAATCTGGGGTTGCCACAGCGGAATGAACCGCCAACTTATCCAGCTAGTTTTTACACAGCGGATGCCCTTCCAGGCACAACCCATCTCTGGGAAACATCCACACACACATTCACACACACACTACTTTCACTAAATTCCATCAACAAGCTCTTCTTGCTTGGAAAATCTCTTACTGTCACAATGTTTCTCCTTTATTTGGAATAATGGTAATATAAGCTCTTCAAATAAATCTTGATTCTCAGTAAATTGGTTTAATAGAGACATTAATCCTCTTTTAACACTGTTTAACAGCTCAGGGAATATCCTATCCTATGAACATTTCATGTCTGCTTACAATTTCCCAATATTGTTTAGAGAATTGAATTAAATCTATCCCTGTAGAAATGATTCAACTTGTTAAAAATCATATTTGCTATAATCTGCTGTAAACCCAAAACTACATTTAGAAGGTGTTGAGTTGACTGATAATAAATGTACTAACAGACATATTCGTAATATTTTTCAGAAGCAAAATAAAATCACTCCTAGAGGCACATTTCTCTGGAACTCTATTATAGTTAATATTAATTGGAAAAAGCCTGGTTAACTCCCTTCAAATATTCTATTAATAATAAAATGAAGGAAATCCATTTTAAAATATTACATCAAGTTTACGCAGTAAAATCGTTTTTATCAAAGCGCATTGAAATGGAGGATATCTGTGGATGAAGAGAGCCTTTGCCATTTGTTTTTTGAATGCAACATTGTAAAGAATTTCTGGAAAAAATCAGCCAAATATATTTGTGAAAGGACAAAACTTAGTTATTATTTTACATTAAAATATGTAATTTTTCATTATGAAAATAAATGTAACAAATGTCTTGAATATATTGTTAATCTCTTTATTTTATTGGCAAAGTTTTACATACACAAACAGAAATCTGCTAAATCTTCTCCCACATTAACCGTTTTTTGTATTGAGTTTTTTTTTCTACAGTGAAATTGTTAAAAAAAAACATAAAATCTGAGATATGCATCAAATATTATGACACTTTTTATAAATTCCCTGTCAATTACTAAAATCATCAGATGTAGAAATGCTGCACACTTTTCTTTTGTGTAATTTAATTTATTTTAATTTATTTATCTGTTTTATCTATTTGTTTTGTTTTTTGTTGACTTTTACCATTGTTGTATTCTTTTTGCGTGTTTCATTATTTGTGTTGTGTTGTGTGTTTGTTCCTGACAGTTATGCAATTAAAAACAAACAAAAAAGGTCACAGTGCAGTGAAACAACGCCTACTATCTGCAGCTCTAGATCACCCCCTAGCGGACACTCCAAGTCATTTTTTCAGGCAGTTATTCAATACGAAGAGCAACACATCGTTGTGTAAATCATATCGATTTTAACTCTTCTTTGTATTTATTTATTTTTAATGATTCCAATTTAATTAACATTATATTTTAATGATCATATTGATCTTTAAACCACTACAGAGACACGATGCTTTCATCTGCAGTTACACACGAGAGGATTATCAGTGCAGCGACACAACAGGACAACTCCTGATCCTCTCAATGCCTGAGCTGTTCTCATCAGAGCAGTCACACATGGGGAATATAACACAAGCTGCGCTAGACTTCATGAAGAAAGATTAGAGTATATAGATTAGAGTATATATGCGAAAGCAGTCATTTTATTTTCTACAAATCTACATTGAGCTCTGTGACACTGATTTGACCAAACTGTACACATATTAGTATTATAATACACTCTCTAGTACAGCAGGTGGCGGTATTCAGCTTTACGCTGCTTTCTATAACTCGCCACACAAGAAGAAGAAGAAGAGGAGGAGGCGGCGGAGGATGTCCGGGTGTGTTTCTTCTGTCTTCTCTGTGTCCAGTGTTTATACTGCTTCAGGTAAAATCACCCTTGTAAAATGTAACTCCGCAGGTGCTTTGATAACCCTGCAGCTGTTTGACTCTTCTCTGCTCTGTTTAGAGTGTTTGTGACGGATGTTTTTCACTGAACTCATGATCTGCCGCTCCTTCAGAAACGAAAGTGAAAGTGTTTAGTTGTTGTGTCGCCATTTTAAACAGACAGAATCCACCATTTACAACGCAGAACAGCGTTAAATCCTCAATGTCTTGACAAAACCTGTAAGCTTTATGTGAATGTGTGTATGCTGTTATTATAATCAAACGGATGACGCTGTGATTCTTCATTAGTTTACTCGTGATGAGCTTCTGGATTTGAGTGTCTCAGCTGCTGATCTATTCCTGCATTCAGCTGAATTATGAAGGCTGATCAATGACTGGAGATCTGTGATTGTTCATCAGTTTCTGCTGGAGATCAAACTCTTCAGGTCCATCATGGGTAACACACACACTGCTGGAGATCAGGATTTGTCTACAGGATGCAGGTATTAGACCTACACTTGACATTTCATATGATGATTTTCTACAGGATATTATATTTACTCTCTGTTAGTTGTGTTTTTAATCTGTCTGAATATTTAACACACACAGTCAGCAAGATTGTGTACAATCATCATGAAAAGTATCATGAAGTGCTGTTTAAACAGTGTTTTAATGATGAAATGTTGAGTAAATCTGCTGTGTTGACTCCAGTGTGTGCAGCGCTGAACTTTAATCTTCTCTGTTTTAGTTCAGTTCATCAGAAGAGAGCAGAAGCAGAGCCCAGCTGTGTGTCTATGAAGAGTGACGCGTCTATGGATCCACCGGTAAAATTTAAGAGTGGAAACACAGGAGCTGCTGTCAGGTAGATCATCTCTTTAATATCTGCAGCTGATGAGTATTTTCATAATAAATGAATCAGGTAATTAGTGTTGTGGATCTGTTGGGTTTCAGATGTTAGATGTTGTATCTGAGCTCTGCAGGATAGTGCTTGAAGATCTCCGCTTTACACTTCAGGCCACAATTGATGGTGTTAACAAACCAATCAGCGCTTTATTAATAGTTAGTGAGGTAGAAGGTGGGTTTAGGTTTTGGGTAGGGTTAGGGATCCACAATAAGATCATACTGTATGACTACTAATGAGCAGTTCATATGTTCACATTCCACAGATAATAAGCCGGTAGTTAATAGTATGAATTGTGAGCTAAACTAAAGTGTTCCCGATCTCCTGCCATAAAGGGCTTTTCCTGCACACTTTCCCCTGCTGTTTCTGTGCTGTACTGATCAGCCATTCCTCTGATCTGAGTCTGTTTTCACTGAAGCGCAGTCATCATCATGTTGTGTTGGCCTCATAGATGCTGCTGATCAACACATTTGGTTTCTAGAATTGATATTTCTCGAGTTCTCCTGCTCATTCAGTCATGATAGATGATGGTAAATGAACTTGTCTTGCTGTCCTCAAAGTCTGGACTGGAGCTCTGCAGACAAACCCCCGATGAGTGACCTTCTGAAGACTGAGTGATGAGGAGGAGGATAAGGGGAGCTGCTGGAGGCGGGAATAACAGTCAGCTGACACAGTGCAGTTTATACTGCTGCTTATATAGTCATGTGATGATGATTGACACGCCTGCATGATTAAGCTCCTCCCACACCTACACTGTCAGCTTCATTCAGTGATTTGATGATTAGTTTCAGCTCTAATCTGCTCTAATAGTACTGCATTTCTGTTGGGCTGTCTCTACTAGAAATGAGCCTTGATCTGTGTTTGCTGATATTTTCCACATTCAGACAGTTTCTGTTCAAATATAAAGGAAATTAATTTAAGTGTTTTTGTAAATGAAGAATGATTAATATCAGGTTTGTGCAGTGTGTGCAGAGCTCAACTTTAATTTTCTCTGTTTTAGCTCAGTTCATCAGAAGAGAGCAGAAGCAGAGCCCAGCTGTGTGTCTATGAAGAGTGACGCGTCTATGGCTCTACCAATAAAGTTTAGGAGTAAAAACACACAACCTGCTGTCAGGTAGATCATCTCTACACACACATGATTACACTGCAGCATTTATATGATCCTGTGTTTCTAGAAGATCAGATATTATTACACTTTATTCTCACAGTCCAGTCAAGACATTTTATTACAGGGAACAAAATACAGGATACTTTAAAACTGAATGTCCACACACTCACATCTGATCATCAGTGAAGTGCTGAAGTAGTAATAATTGACTAAAGTATTAATACTCAAACTGTTAGAGTTAGTAGAGTGAGTTTACAGGCTTTTACAATAGTCAGCAAAGTGTGGGTGATCCAGAGATTTTAGACAAGATGAAAGTTTTGTGAGACAAACACACCATATTTCACTGATAAGTAATTATAGTCAAGAGAGATACTGATTTAAGATGAAACTGTATTCAGATCTTCTCTGATTATCTTAATAAAATGCATTAATGTTGCAAAGTTAAAGTGGTAAATGTTAAAATGGATCAATATTACTGCGCTGTTACTGAAATCCTGAACTCTGAGAGCAAACACTTGTATGATCTGGAGATTATCATGTAAATCAAAAACTATATTCAGTCAGAAAGTGAGCTGACAGAGGACAGAAGCAGAGCAAACACAGTCATGGTGAAGCAGTGAAAGATTCAGACAGCAGAGATAGAGAGGATTATTATTTCTTATTGATGGCAAAACATTTAACAAGTATATGATCACAACAACCTTCCGAACTACAGACAGCAGAATACAAGATTCAGAGAACCATGAGAACAGAAAATTATACAGTAAAAGAAACAACATTACCACATTACACACTACAGCAGCTGAACAGGTCATCTAGGAGCTTTAGTCCTCATGCGTGTGCTCTCACATTTTCATCTTAAAAGATTTTAAATGTCTTCAGTGAGCATCTAGCATCATTGTGAATAAATGAGATCAATTTAATGAAGTGTTACATTTAATAAATGACAAACACCAGGGCTCGAAATTGCGACCATTTTGGTGTCATATGCGCCCGAAATTTTATCTGTGCGACCTTAAAATATATTTGATATATTGGAGCATTTCTGCGAGTGCTTAAAATTGTTGTGTGCTACCAGTTTTTACAGCAAAATGTTCACCACATGCGTGGATTCAGGAGACATTCACGCAGAATGCATCTCTAAGCTCTTTGTCTGCACTTGAAACGCGAAACGCAGCGCTCAGGAATGGTTTAAAACAGTTGTCATGTCGACTTGTTGCAGTAAACAAAGCCAAGTCCTTAATGCTTGCCTCGCCTTCGCGCTCTTCTTATTGGCCCACCACTGCTCTGGCACTGAATGCAAATGATTGGGTAATATCAGCTGTCAATCACTCAGCACCTTTTGGCTTCGGATGACAGAAAGAACTACTACCGCGAAAAATTGTAAAGCGCTGAAGATGAGAATGAAGATATCGCGGACAGATTTAGTTTTAGAAACCATCTAGTTACAAATAATGACACATCTTACTAGTGATCATGTGCTGAATGTCAATCCACCATCTACACTTTTCCAAGACTAGAAGACTTCCATTAGCTTAAAGTCCGCTATGAAAAGTCTGTGGGATGGAGTTTTCAGGAAACTGTTTGCCACGTCTAGCAGTGTGTGGTGTTAAAAGTGATTAGTGTGTGGTGTTTAAGGTGATCAGTGTGTACTGTTTAAAGTGATCAGTGTGTGGTGTTTAAAGTGATCAGTGTGTGGTGTTTAAAGTGATCAGTGTGTGGTGTTTAAAGTGATCAGTGTGTGGTGTTTAAAGTGATCAGTTTGTGGTGTTTAAGGTGATCAGTGTGTGGTGTTTAAGGTGATCAGTGTGTGGTGTTTAAAGTGATCAGTATGTGGTGTTTAAAGTGATCAGTGTGTGGTGTTTAGAGTGATCAGTTTGTCGTGTTTAAAGTGATCAGTGTGTGGTGTTTAAGGTGATCAGTGTGTGGTGTTTAAGGTGATCAGTGTGTACTGTTTAAAGTGATCAGTGTGTACTGTTTAAAGTGATCAGTGTGTGGTGTTTAAAGTGATCAGTGTGTGGTGTTTAAAGTTATCAGTGTGTGGTGTTTAAAGTGATCAGTGGGTGTGTGGTGTTTAAAGTGATCAGTGTGGTGTTTAAAGTGATCAGTGTGTGGTGTTTAAAGTGATCAGTGTGTGGTGTTTAAAGTGATCAGTGTGTGGTGTTTAAAGTTATCAGTTTGTGTGGTGTTTAAAGTGATCAGTGTGTGGTGTTTAAAGTGATCAGTTTGTGTGGTGTTTACAGTGATCAGTGTGTGGTGTTTAAAGTGATCAGTTTGTGTGGTGTTTAAAGTGATCAGTGTGTGGTGTTCAAAGTGATTAGTGTGTGGTGTTTAAAGTGATCAGTTTGTGGTGTTTAAAGTGATCAGTTTGTGGTGTTTAAAGTGATTAGTGTGTGGTGTTTAGAGTGATTAGTGTGTGGTGTTTAAAGTGATCAGTGTGTGGTGTTTAAGGTGATCAGTGTGTGGTGTTTAAGGTGATCAGTGTGTGATGTTTAGAGTGATCAGTGTGTGTGGTGTTTACAGTGGTCAGTGTGTGGTGTTCAAAGTGATTAGTGTGTGGTGTTCAAAGTGATCAGTGTGTGGTGTTTAAAGTGATCAGTGTGTGGTGTTTAAAGTTATCAGTTTGTGTGGTGTTTAAAGTGATCAGTGTGTGGTGTTTACAGTGATCAGTGTGTGGTGTTTACAGTGATCAGTGTGTGGTGTTTAAAGTGATCAGTTTGTGTGGTGTTTAAAGTGATCAGTTTGTGTGGTGTTTAAAGTGATCAGTGTGTGGTGTTTAAAGTGATCAGTTTGTGGTGTTTAAAGTGATCAGTGTGTGGTGTTTAAAGTGATCAGTGTGTGCTGTTTAGAGTGATCAGTGTGTGGTGTTTAAAGTGATCAGTGTGTGGTGTTCAAAGTGATTAGTGTGTGGTGTTTAAAGTGATCAGTTTGTGGTGTTTAAAGTGATCAGTTTGTGGTGTTTAAAGTGATTAGTGTGTGGTGTTTAGAGTGATTAGTGTGTGGTGTTTAAAGTGATCAGTGTGTGGTGTTTAAGGTGATCAGTGTGTGATGTTTAGAGTGATCAGTGTGTGTGGTGTTTACAGTGATCAGTGTGTGGTGTTCAAAGTGATTAGTGTGTGGTGTTCAAAGTGATCAGTGTGTGGTGTTTAAAGTGATCAGTTTGTGTGGTGTTTAAGGTGATCAGTGTGTGATGTTTAGAGTGATCAGTGTGTGTGGTGTTTACAGTGATCAGTGTGTGGTGTTCAAAGTGATTAGTGTGTGGTGTTCAAAGTGATCAGTGTGTGGTGTTTAAAGTGATCAGTTTGTGGTGTTTAAAGTGATCAGTTTGTGTGGTGTTTAAGGTGATCAGTGTGTGGTGTTTACAGTGATCAGTGTGTGGTGTTTACAGTGATCAGTGTGTGGTGTTTACAGTGATCAGTTTGTGGTGTTTAAAGTGATCAGTGTATGGTGTTTAAAGTGATCAGTTTGTGTGGTGTTTAAGGTGATCAGTGTGTGATGTTTAGAGTGATCAGTGTTTTAATAACTCATTTGTAATTACTGATTTATTTTCTCTTTGTCATGATGACAGTAAATAATATTAGACTAGATATTCTTCAGGACACTTCTATACAGCTTAAAGTGGCATTTAAAGGCTTCACTAACTTTCTCCAGAAGAAAAAAATTGTATCAGACATGCTGTGAAAATTTCCTTGCTCTGTTCATTTGAGAAATATATAAAAAAAAGAAAAAAAATCAAAGGGGGGCTAACAATTCTGACTTCAACTGTATATAATCATTTGGCAGGCAGGCGTTTTCATCTAAATTGACTTACAGTAGATACAAATAAAAAAAATACACTTAGGAGTCTGTTAAAGGTATAACAGTGTGTGCAGAAAGTTTTGAGCCTATTGAGTTTTTGAGGATTCATTATTTTATTCATTGATAATTTGTCTGGTAGTCTACATAGTACATTAAATAATACATTTACAATAGAGTACAATATTAGCAGTCGAGAATTACATGAAAATGGTAGCGTAGTGGTGACAATAGCAGCAGAGGTGACCTGAGATTGAAAAAATTCCCGACATGAATTATTGTTCCAGTCAACCCTTGCTGTCTCCTCATTATGAGCACTACAGCACATGTAATATTTACAATGTTTGTAAGATATATCTGTATGCGTTTGCCTCTAAATGTATAATTGAAGTAGTTTTATCTGTTAACAGTGTTGAATATGAGTCTGCAGATTCAGGAGACGAGACTCACAGGAGACACAAGAGTTTCACAGACAATCTCCAGTCCATCTTCCAGGTAGAAAAACTCATTTAGATTCATTAACGTCACTGAGATAACTCAATGAAACACAGAATATTCATTCACAACACTTGAGAACTGGATCTTTAATCTGCTTTGGTTGGCCCCTGACCCAACTAAAAGTGTCTACAAAATAAATAGTATTCTGAATAGTCTGTGCTGCTTTGGTTTTTCAGATATTAAAATAATATTTCCTGGTCATTCTGAGATTTCTCAGTCATTTACAGGCACAAATGAGACCATTTAGGGTAATTTTTGACTGAATGTTAGATATTTCAACCAGTTTTACTCAGAATAGTTGGATCTAGTCTGACATCGGCCTGTTTTATAAAATATACATTACAAATATCAGGATATGACAACTGCATCTATTGACAAACAACTTGCAACATACCAAACTAAAACAAAGCATCCTGTGCTTGGTTAGCTAATAAGAACAGTTGAAAGCAGAGATGCCAAGGCTAGCGCCCATGAGCCAAAGTTGGTGTATGGTAACCTTTGATTTGACACGTCATCCCATATAAGAGAGGCAGAATGTTGGGGAGGGTAGGGGTAATGCCTTTAAAACACATTATCATTTCAAATTTAACAAAAACTTTCATTTGTTTTATTGATAAATTAAAAAAAAAAAAAAAACTAAGATAAAACGCTTTAGTTAAATGTGAATGAATCAGATTTTTCTTTTAATAAACATACTGTTGCTCAACAGATAGAGCACTATTCTGAAGTCATCGGTGAGCAGATGAGGAGAAAGGCTGGTGCAGCTTGACTAGTGGACTCGGCTGTAAACTCCATTGTGTTATAAAGAGATTTTTTATTTATTTTTTTTAAGAAGCTTGCCTGACCATAGTAACGTCATTTGTACATTTAAAAGATATGTATGAATGCATTTATGCTTTATTAAATGACATTTAAAATCACAGTTTAAATAAACACATTTAATTATGTCCATTTATTTGTGTATTTAAATTGTGATTTATTTATACACATTTTAATGCTTCAATTATTATATTGATGATTTGATTCTAAAGGGCTCTCCTGTTCCTCCATAGCTAAAGCCACTGTTCAGATATTTATATAATATGTTTTTCAGACATTTATCAGGTATTTGTCCTCAATCTGCTCCTTAAACATCTCGCCCAAAGCTTTCTTCTGTTGAGTTTTGATGCGTTTTCTTACTGGTGTATCTGTAAAATATCTCAAATCATTCAGCGTAGTGATATGCAAATGTAATGTCCATCAGCTAATCAGAATCATGCAGTTTAACAGACTCATATGATCATGTTGTATAATGTATTGTCAGTTATTGGGTTTGTGGATGTACAGCTGTGTGTGAATCAATGATTTCGTTAAATATTGATCTTCTCTTTTCTTCACTCATAGAATCTTGAGAGCAAAATGATCAGATTCCTGAAGAATGAACTGGGAAACTTTAAGAAAATCTTACAGGAAGAAAACAGTCAAGAGTTTGTAAAGGAGTTTACTGAGAACAGAAGCATTATCACAGAAGCAGCTCTTGATCTCACACTCTTCTTCCTGAGAGAGATGAAGCAAGATCAAGCTGCTGATATTCTTGAAGGTAAGAGATTCCCCAGCAAACATTTGAACATCTGTTGACCGCTGAAACAGCGATTATATAAATAAAAATATATATATAAAAAATGTATCCAAAATGCTTTAATTGTTAATGATTTGTAACTGTCTTATAGATAGCCAACAGATAACTTACAAGCTGTTACTTAACAAGTTATAAATGACTTGTTAACTGTATTTAAATGATTTATAACTATACCTAATACATTAGTAATAGATCATGAACAAGCTGTTAGTAAATTACTTACTAAAGACTTGTTAAGTATCAGTTAATAGTTGATATATGTTATTTGGACGTTATCTTAAAGTTGCACCTGCTCTTCATTTAATAACTGTTAGTAAATGAGGAATAGTTGCAACTTCAGAATAACGTCCCAGTAACATACGCAAGCTAATAACTAACACTTAACTAATATATCAACTCACACTTTACAGATCAGTTTTCATAGTTTGTGTACCATCTACTAATACCAGTGAAACAATTCACTGAAATGATACAATTGCCTGTAATACAGAAAACAGAGTCGGAATGGAAAAAAAAATCATTGATCCTTAATCATTTCCCCGCTAAAATTATTCAGTGCATGATATCTATATCATTTTTAATTTGACAAAGATGTAAATAAATAAAATATCATGCATTTTGCAAATATTTATACAATATCTGTATCTATTGTCGAGTGCATTGCCGTGAGGTAGTTCTGAACTATTGTTCAGTCCCATGCCAGCGGTATTTGTGTGCTTCAAGGGCTTGACACTAGGAAGCGCATGAAGACTAGCAATAGTTATTTAGAGGGTTTTTGTTCAGATTAGTTGTGGAGGTAACGGAATTGTACTCAGTTTTTGGCCATAAGAATTACCTGCATAAATTGTAATTGGAGTAGGTTATAGGTCAAATTATTGGTTATGGTAATTTTGATTATTTTCTGATAATGGATAATAGGTTTGATAATGATATCAGTGGAGGAATTGTGTAGCGCTTCGGATGAGCTATTGAATTTTTTAAGAAAGAAAAAACCCAAGTCTGTCATGTAAACTTGCTGAAACCTTTTTTCACCCGCGATTGTCAAGCAGCTGATATTAAATTATCTGGGGTGGTCAGTCCTGTGACTGAGGCGCTGGGACAGTCTTCCATGGGAGACAAGGAGGGTGGTAAGTTTTTAGATGACAAGTGGGCACGACAAGAAATGTTAGTAAACTTGATTTACCCAACGGATAATGGCAGAAAATGACTGTAATTGTAACTTCTTCAGGACTTTATTCTTATTCTGTCATGAGCTTCGGGTTACAAAACACTCCTGTGACATTTCAGAGATTGATGAATTGTGTAGTCTCTGGTTTAGAGGATTATATAGTATTATTATATATATTATATATTATATATATATTATATAGTTTACAGCGATAACTGGGATCAACACATGAGACGGATGTGAGAATTATTTAAACCTTTAGCTGAAGCTAATTTGACTATGAATTTAGCTAAATGTGAATTTGCACGAGCACCGGTTTCTTATCTGGGCAAGGACATGGGATCAAGCACGATCGAGAATTTCCCTACTCCTTGTACTAAAAAAGAGCTTATGCGGTTTATTGGAATGGCCAGTTATTATCGTGGGTTCTGCCAAATCTGTTATTTGTCCGCTGACTAATCTATTAAAGAACTCTGGTAAGTTTGAGTGGAGTCCATATTGCCAAAAAGCTTTTGAGAATGTGAAGTTGTTGTTGACTGCTACTCCTGTGTTAGCAGCACCCCAAATTGGTGACGCAAGTCACGTAGGAGCCGGAGTGGTCTTTCTCCAGACTTATTCTGATGGTTTTAGTCATCCAACATGTTACTTCTCACGCAAATTTAATTCATATTTGTTGAATTATTCAGTGAAGGAAATGTTGCTGCTTATCTGGGTACTTCAACATTTTGATGTATATGTGGGAGGAGGGTCCACGGTTGTTTTTTGTTATCACAATCCTTTGACAGTTCTTCATTCATTGCAGTGTCAGAGTCAAAGCTTAATCTTGACGATTAAACACATAAAGGGGATTAATAATGTTTTTGTGGACACCTTGTCACATGCCACTGTGGTAGAGTAATGAAGTTGTATTTTGGTCTCCAATTGATGTGACTTGACCTACTCCTATATGTATCTATGCTGTACATTAGTTTTACACTCATCCACAAGTTACTTACTTTTTAACAATAATCCAATAATCCACTCCAAGCCCACCTCTGACTCTAAATAATCCAATATATACTGTTATTCTGTTATTAGAACAATAACGTTACACTGGGTTCAAATTGAGAAACAGTGAACCGATAATACAGCGCATGTGTGAATTAGTGAACCAAACACAAACAGTACATGAAAGCCTGCTGTGAATGAACTAAACCTAAACAACTGCCGCGCAGGTAAACCGAGGGCTTAAATGAGAGGATCTGGTGAAAAACATTAGTTTTTTTTCATAACAGAAACTCGTAATGTGATTTAAATAAGTGAATAATGCTTTAGTTGTGATTTTTTCAGATCATGGTGATGTTTTAACTGACTAAAATTACTATTGTTGACTACATAATTTTAATATGTTGAGTACTTGCACACATATACTTAAGGCTGCTATCTTGTTGTCTGTTGATTTGAATTTGAGGATGGGTAGATGGTTGTGGTAGATGGTAGTGGTCATGTGTCCTCTAAATATAGGTTTCAAAAAATGTATAGCTGAGTTTTTATTATACAGCAAATATCCTCATTTAGAAAAAAAAAGAAAAAAAAAACTAAAACTAAGCAATTTCAATATATAGAAACTAGTAAATCTACCTCTTAAACTAATTAAAACTCTATTTGAAAACAAAAAGTCAAAACGAAATAAAAACTTAAGCTAATGAAAAATCCAAAACTATTATAACCTTGGCAATGCATGTGTAAAGGACATAATTTGTGGAGGTCCCTTTCACAACTTATTTACAATTGTGTGTAAATGATCTACGATCTACTGCAACCATTTTTGGTAAGCCACATGAAGTTGCCATCAGACCAATGTTTTCTGGGTCATGGCAATCTATATTAATTACAAAAAATCTGGAAAAGTCAAGACTAAATCTCTCTGCTTCTTTGCTTCTGTGTTTAGGCGAGCTGTTCTTTATTAATCAGCTTAAATGTAGCCTGAAGAAGAAATATCAACGTGTGTTTGAAGGAATTGCTCAGCAAGGAGACTCCACACTTCTGAATAACATCTACACAGATCTCTACATCACTCAGGGTGCGAGTGAACAGGTCAACACTGAACATGAGATCAGACAGATTGAAGCTGCTTCCAGACGTCATCAGTCACTAGAGATACAGGTTGAATGCAAACATTTGTTTGAAGCAGCTGAACAAGACGAGCGGATCAGAACTGTCCTGACAAAAGGAGTTGCTGGCATCGGGAAATCAGTCTCTGTGCAAAAGTTTGTTCTGGATTGGGCTGAAGGGAAAGAAAATCAAGACATCAGCTTCATATTTCCTCTTCCATTCAGAGAGATGAACTTAAAGGAGAAAGAAAGACAAAGTTTAAAAGACCTCATAACTCAGTTTTTCCCAGAGACTAAAGGACTGAACCTTACAAGAAGCACACGATTCAAAGTCCTGTTCATCCTTGATGGATTGGATGAATGTCGTCTTCCTCTGAACTTTGCTGGTAATGAGACGTGTGGTGATGTATCTTCAGCAGTCTCTCTGGATGTTCTCCTGACGAACCTCATCAAGGGAAATCTGCTTCCTTCTGCTCTCATCTGGATCACCAGCAGACCAGCAGCTGCCAGTAAGATTCCTGCTGACTGTATCGACCGGCTGACAGAGATACGAGGATTCAATGATGCCCAAAAGGAGGAGTACTTCAGAAAGAGACTCACAGATCAGAATCAGGCCAGAGAAATCATTGATCACATTAAACAGTCAAAGAGTCTCTTTATTATGTGCCACATCCCAGTCTTCTGCTGGATTTCAGCCACTGTTCTCCAGAACATACTGAAACTGAAACACAGGGCTCATGCTGAAACACTGCAGGAATCTCCCAAGACTCTGACACAGATGTACACACACTTTCTCCGCTTTCAGATGCAGCAGAGCAAAAGAAAGTATGATGGAGAAAACACAGCAGATGTCTCCTGGGATCCAAAGCTCATCCTTTCACTGGGGAAACTGGCCTTCCAGCAGCTGGACAGAAACAATGTGATCTTCTATGAGAGCGATCTGAAAGACTGTGGCATTGACGTCTATAAGGCATCGGTGTACTCAGGCATGTGTACCCAGATCTTTAAGGAGGAGACGGGAATTATTCTTGGTACCATGTACTGCTTTCTTCACTTGAGCATTCAGGAGTTCATTGCAGCCCTTTATCAACATCTGATTCTAGACAGCGACAAGAAGCATGGATTGTTTTTACAGATAAGCAAAAATAAAGGCGTGACCGATTTCCTGAAGACAGCAGTAGACAAGGCTCTGGAAAGTGAGAATGGACATCTGGACCTTTACCTTCGCTTCCTTCTCGGTCTGTCACTCCAGTCCAATCGACAACTCTTACGAGGCCTGTTGACACAGCAGGATGACAGAGACCAGAGCAAAAAGAAAATAATTGCCTACATCAAGCAGAAACTTAAAGGAAATCTGTCTCCAGAGAGATCCATCAATCTGTTCTACTGTCTGAATGAACTGAACGATCAAACTCTGCTGAAAGAGATTCAGTCTCACCTCAATAGTGGAAGTCTGTCATCTGCTCGCCTTTCACCTGCCCAGTGGTCTGCTCTGGTCTTTGTGTTGTTGACCTCAGAGGAGGAGCTGGAGGAGTTTGAGCTTCACAAATTCCAGAGATCAGACGAGTGTCTCATCAGACTATCAGCAGTCATCAAAACCTCCAAAAGAGCCTTGTAAGTCCTTATTTCTTTCATCTAAGAAATAGACATTAGCTGATATTAAATAATACAATACATAATTTTAATGAACATACACAATATTGATATTGTCGGCACTTTAAAATACTGTGAATAATTGATTATTATTTAATATTTCATTTCATTAATTACTCATTAAGAGTCAAAAATATGCTCGAGGAACACTCCTGATGGACATAGATCTGGGAAGTGGCAGGGCTCTATATATATATATATATATATATATATATGAGAGTATATACATGTGTGTGTGTGTGTGTGTGTGTGTGTGTGTGTGTATATATGACAGCGCTCTATATAAATATATAAACAAAAGTCCATAGATGGGAGGGGGCCGTGAAGACTCCTGCGGAAACAGCCAAGGGTGGCGAGGGATGACGAGGGGGCTTGGATGCAATTCCAATTAACTACTTGACTGGTGGAGAAACAAAGTCTAGAAGTAAGGAAAAAGAGCAGGGAATGTGGCTGGGTCATGCCCTCTCCCTTGAGTAGATGTGGGTTGATGGCTGGCGAGAGTCATCTGGGCTTCTTTGAGGTGCCTTTGGCTAAGACGTATGTATGTCTTGAAGGCATCGGATGACCACCTTCCCAGAGTCTGGATTTGTTGTTGTAAAAGCCCTTTGTGTTTATGTGTTTTATTAAGGCTGAAAAACAGCATTGATACGTTTAGGGCCGTATCTGAGTCCACTAGGTACTTTCAGAGGTGTATCCAGCTCTGTGAGCTCATAAACTGACTGAGCCGAGCCCAGTTTGATGAACTTTTTCTTAGTGTCGGCTGGAAGATTTCCCCCAGGACTCCCAACATGAGGAGTAGGTCACAATCACGCCCCCACAAGAGGAAGCTTCTGATTGGTTAACCCTCTGGGGTCTAAGGGGGTTTTGGGGCTCTGCAGAAGTTTCGACATGCACTGACATTTGTGTTGTTTTCAGTATGTTAAAAACATATAAATGGATAAAGTGTGATAACACTGTAAACAGCACAAGTTAGGCTACAATAATACCTAAGCAGCATGTTTGTATGTGTTTGTGTTTTTGAGAAAGAAACGTTTATGCGTGGTTAGTGAAAAACAAAAATTTTGAAGTCTCTGAAACAAGGCCATGAAACACACAGAGAACATTTGTGCACAAGACTTTTGAGAACTGGATCTTGTAGTCTAGTGTTTTTGCTTCAAAATGATGTGAGAATCATCTTGTTCACTTCCTCACAGAAAACAATATAATGAATTAAAATTTCTAAGTCACTTTTTAAGTGAAATTGGTTTATGCGAGAAGGCGTGAACTATCATTACTATGCAGTGAGTCACACCTGAGAAGACAAAGACCTGCATAATGAGCTGAATAATAAGCCATCAGACAGGTATATGACTAGGAGGGAAGAGTTTCAAGAAGGAATCAGAGAAAAGTTTATATACTTTTTGTTTGCATGTTTATTTAAAATATATTATTCACACAAAATAACTGGAGATACACTTGTGAGAGTCAGTACACTCAATAAAACTCTGCAAACTTTTAAACTTACACATAGAAAATCTACTGATTTATTTATTTATTTATTTAGTAAATGAAGAGTTTAGTTGCAAAAGGAGATATTTCCATTTTAAGAAATGTTGGTTATTTGACATTATTATTTACGACATCAACAGTCAAGTTCATTCACAATTTTATACATTAAACTATTAAGCTCAGTGAAGTCCAGGAACACAATATTCTTCAAACCCAGGATATTTTTTATTTAACTTTATGTCTTTAAATAGTTTATAAATAAGTCATAAATCATGCCAAAATGCAACATATTATCTCAACATTGTCAAACATCTTAAATTGGTTAAAAAAACAATACATCATTATTATATGGAATAGTATATACAAAGATTGATTAATAATAATACGATTCTGAGTTAGTTTTGGTATTCTGATATTAGAGCAATGATATTTTAAAGAATGATGATTAATCCATATGCGATAATGAAATCTTTTTTCAGCAGCTTTTGGCGCAAGTGATCATCCTCTCACTCGGTATTCACAGTAATTATTTAAAGAATAAACTTACAAAGGACACTTAGAAATGTAGTCTTGCAGACAGGTATCCTGTGATGAGGAGGGGCGCAGGAAAAAGGCAGTATTTCACTGTAACCCCTGGCCTTCTTCTTGACATCAGCGGAGACTCACAGACGCAGGATTATTTGAACCTGGTCCGCTTTTGTAGCGTTTTTATAAATTTTTGTGAAGTTGAAGGCGACATCTTCATCTAACAGTTTGTTGTCATGACACAGAACATCATTACTCGCATTACTGAGCAAACTCGGAGCACATCTTGTCTACTTTCTACTGTCTAGCTCTCTTTGCCACTAGTCCTTTAATTCTGTTGTTTTCAGATCTGGAAATGTACATATGAAGCGCGCTTACTGAGAGGTGGGACCACGCTGCTGTAATGAGGCGATATAGGAGAATCCGTACAGTCCTTACTTTTACACGGATTACATACAAAGAGATCATTTGTTTTCAACTTGAATTGGTTAATGCAAAAGTAGACATATTAAGCTTTATATAGATATCAGAAATCATCATCTTTGTTGACTATTTGCCGAGTTTCCTTTCATTTTAGTGACGTGTTTTTCTGATCACAGTCTGCACGCGTCTTCAGACACTTGTAATATCAATGCCTCGTGGGCGTGGTCGCATTAAAACTAATGAGATCAGACTGAGAATATAGACATAGCGTTGATTTCATACTGATTACTTAATCAAGCAATATAAAGTATTGCTGACTTTGTTTTCAACATGCATAGCTGCGTTTAAAAGTAGACACTTTAAGCTTTCTAGAAATACATTTCTCATATGTGTTCGTTTTGTATTCGTGGAGTTTCAGCGCATTTTAATGATGCATTTCTAAAACCAGTTCACGGAGAGAGAAAAGACAGAATGCCTACTCTGTTGTTTTCCTTATTTTGCAAAAGCACACACGTTTGTTGTTGTTGTGAGTATACACAACAATAAGTAGACACATAACAGATTCGATTGATGTATTGATCTCATTTATACGATCAAAACTGAAAGTGTAATTTAAGTTCATTTCAGCAGTTTGACGCCACCACACGTCAAAACGCGTATACGCAGTCTTCGACCCCAGAGGGTTTATGCGGGGCGAATGTCCGCTGAAGTTCAGACTTTCAAACTCAAGCAATGGGTGCCATTCACGCCACGCCATTCGCGTGTATCGCGCCGCAGGATGTCTATTCACACATTTTCACTGACTTAACATGTAAATCACTCGTGCGTTCTGCGTCTGGTGTGAACGCAGCATTACATTCTGTAAAAGCGGTCGGTGGGCAGAGCCCATAGCTGGACTCGAGCTGTGCTCTCTCATCACGCATGCATGCCGTGACATCGCAAGCAGACTCCTATAGAGCTAGCACTTGATCATGCGCCAATCACGAGCACAATCAGCCAATCAAAACGCAGCTTAGGTCTGCGGTACATTGAGTCTATTGACTGGTTTCATTCTGTTCAGATAGAGAGAAAGGTCACATGCTTTGCTTTCCGCCTTATGCCAGTTAGTTTTGTGTGCGTCAATGATGAGAAACCACACACACACACACACACACACACACACACACACACACACACTCCCATGTAAAAGACGGTACCTATTCAAGTGTGATGGACATTAAAGAACTTTAAATGGGGTTCAAGTCTCCGTGTTCTTACCGGCACTCCATGGCAACGATTTTGTCTGAAACGGGTACAACTGTTGACTGTACTGACATCTTTATGATCCATCCATGCGTGATCATAGGGAGAACCAGATGACCAATAATTCTTGGCTAGAAGTTGCAACAGCAGTAGGAGAGGAGGAAAGTTTTAGAAAGGTTTGGAAAAACCTGAGGGATAAGTTTGTTCAAACACCAACAGCAAAAAAGGCCATGGCAAAAGTGGAGTCCCTTGTGGTTTTAATATTACAGCATATGTTTTTCCACCAGTCATCGGTTTTACACTGATGCATATATTACAATTTTGAATTTAAAACAATTTACAAGTGACAAAATGTAAATAGAATGCCCTTGTGTCAATGATCTGTTTGCTCAATAAAGAAAGACAGAGTTTCTACATCCTGCAAAGTTGGATCAGCTATGATGGGGTGGAATGTGGGATTGAAATGTTGATGTTAGTTCACAACATCTCAAAAGCCAAAAAGGCTAGTGTGGATACGGCATCAAGGGTGTGGGCTGTACAGGTATGAGCGGAAATGTGTCTTTGCAAAGAGTGTGAAAGCATTAGGAATGGATGTAGAGTGTGATGGGTTGAATGAGGGCAGTTTCTGGAGTCGGCAGTCATGAACTCTAAAATGAGAAAACAAGAGAGAATCAGAAATTAAATCTTTACAGCATGGTGCATGTACAGCAGTTTGTTAAACAAACAAAAAAGAGGCCCCCAAAACATCTTCAATGATATTAATAATTCTCTTTTTATTTGTCTGATTGTCTTTTGACTGCCCCCTATCATTTAAAAGAATATCTCAATAATGAACGCGTCAAGTATAAAAGCCTTGTCTTTCATGAGGTGTGCGATGTGTTTGTCTGTAGCTCAATGCTGCATCTAATCTGTCTTCAGTACTGTTCAATTTAAATACATTTATTTCACCACAAATTTTTGATTTAGCATTTTCTCTCGCGTGTTACATAAGAGCATCCGTTACATCAGTTACATCAGATCAGATGTGGCAGAGTTTTATTATTATTATTATTAATAAATATAAATATATCAACTGCCAACATCAAACCTTGAACTTGAAAAACCATGTAACTACTTGGTAATAACTGTGTGAATGTAATGTTTATCATGGGCTTTTACTGCAGCTATGATAAGTAACATCTCGTTTGGAATCTGAACATGATTGAAAAATCTTGATCATATCTGGCCCGATTCATTCACAAAGTCTTTGCATTCAGTACATTCATAAACTGTCCAGAGAAAAGGCTGGACCATCTCAAGTTTGTAAAGCTCATTGGATGGTG